CAGTATAATAATAATAATTATTATTATTATAACAGTAATAATAAAGCCACCTTATTTTTATGTTTCCTCACTTTTTGTCCTGGAAATAGTTGTTCTGTTATTCACTTTCTTAATCCTTGACTTTAATATTCTTTATTAATTTCAATGTTCTTTTGTTTTGTTTTGTTTTTAAATATTTTATTTATTTATTTGATAGAGAGAGAGACAGTGAGAGAGGGAACACAAGCAAGGGGAGTGTGAGAGGGAGAAGCAGGCTTCCTGCTGATGTGGCTCGATCCCAGGACCCCGGGATCATGACCTGAGCCGAAGGCAGGCCCTTAACCAACTGAGCCACCCAGGGTCCCCTCAATGTTCTTTTGAATCAGTAATTAATTCAAATCATCCCTACAAAAAGTCAAAGGACAAAGTCCACAAGATCATGTTGATAGATCCTAAGGATACTTGAAAAAAAATAAATATTTATTTCTGATAATAAGTCTTGGAAAAAATATTTTTTCTCATATCAATCCATATTCATAATTATCAGTGAAATATTAAATCATCCCTAGATTACCTCACTTACTTAAATTCCTTTAAAAAATACTGTAGCCTATGCAGTAAGAGAAGAAAAAAGATGTAAATATTGAAAAGCAGTACCAACCATCATTATTTGCAGATGATGTGAATAAAACTAAATTATTGCAATATTAAGTCAAAAGGATACAAAAATAAGTATTTTTAAAATACATATGAAAATGGGCGCCTGGGTGGGTCAGTTAGTTAAGTGTCTGCCTTCAGCTCAGGTCATGATCCCAGAGTCTTAGGATCCAGTCCCACATCAGGCTCCTTGTTCAGCAGGGAGCCTGCTTCTCCCTCTGCCTGCTGCTCCCCTGCTTGTGCTGTCTCTTGTTCTCTCTCTCTCTAACAAATAAATAAATAAAATCTTTAAAAAAATAAACATGTAAATGCTAACAATTAGAAGTTAGGAAATAATGGGAAAAATCCCTTTCCTACTATGAATATATACAATGCTTTCAAACTTTAAGAAGCATACAATTCACCTGGGGGTTTTGTTCAAATGCAGATTGAACAGGTTTGAGGTGGGAATCAAGATTTTATATTTCTAATGAGCTCTCAGGTGCTGTTGATCATGTTTTGAGTAGTAAGGTATGTATATATGTGTGTGTGTGTGTGTGTGTGTGTGTGTGTATGCATACATACATACACATTCACACATATACATATATATGTATATTCTCATGTATAACTTTCGTGTAAAATATTAAAACTTAAGAATTAATAAGAAATTAGTGAAACCTCTGTTTTTAAAAAGTAGAAAGAAGGTTAAAAAATTACTGGGAGACAAAAAAATATTTGAGTGAAGAAGAGAAATGTCACATCCCTGGATGGGAAGACAACATTATAACAATGTCTAACTAAAATTAATCTAATGCTTTTATCTTAACATAATGAAAACCACCAAATGCTGCTCTTTGTAACTTTAAAAGATGAGGTTTATAAAGTTCATCAGGAAGAATAAACATGCCAGATAACAAATTTTTTTCACAAAGAGGGCATTAGGCAGTTCTTCTCTTCCAGAAATTAAGATGTATTTTAAAGTGACCATAATTAAAACAATTTGTTCTGTATAGAAACAGACAGATTAAAAGTGTGGGATACGAAGTCCAGCCATGGATCCAACTGTGCATATAAACTTATATATAATGGAAGTGGCATATCAATCACTGAGAGAAAAATAAATTATTTGACAAGTGAATTGAGACACTTCAAATAATCACCAGAATAGACTTATATTCTGGCCTTACAACAACATTATGACCTTAGAGCTTAATAAAACAAGTGCACATGCATGCATGTGCACATATCAAATTATGTGAACTTTAATATAAAAGATAAGTTCTAAAACACAAATGCAAATCTAACAAGCATAAGATATATCTCAGCTAACAAACTGATAAAGAAACTAAACTTTTATCTATTATAATATTTATTATTTTATGTGATCTCATTCTATTTGAATAGTGCTAATCAATTGAATGAGCAATCATGGGCTGTTACTAACACTATCTCCATTCTTCCGACAAAAATTCAATGAGTTCTGTAATTTAGCTATTCTCCTTAACATGATCTTTTTTTTTCTTTACTAAAAGCCCTATCAACATAGCTAAATCAGAGTTATTTCCTCTGTGATAAAATCAGACCCATCAGCACAGAGTTCTTCTCTCTCTGATTATAATTGTAGGGTTGCTGGGGCTTTTGTTTGTTTGTTTCTTTTTTCGCTATAGCCCCCATCTGATTGTCCATTTTGGTCCTACACTGCCTCCTACAGCTCCCCAAATGGCATCAAATGATAAATGATTAAGAACTTTTAAAGGCTAAATTATCATTTCCTTTACAAGTTGTATGCACATAAAATACATCTTTAAAAGGGTATGTCATTTTAGAAAGCATCAAATAAATTACTAAATGTGTAAAAACTAGGCTTCATAATCACCGCTAGCATTTCTTTGCCAAATATCTAATAAGGCATATCATAAGCACACAGTATATGCTGCAATAATTATGAGAGCCAAAAATAATAGGTTGCCAAATATAATAGCTCATCTCAAATTTCTAAACATTCTTTTATGATTATACCTCCACCTCTCAGAGTAGACTGGGTTCAGGTCTTCTTTGGGTCCCTCAGAAAAAGCTGTGACTCACATGGTACCATGTAGGGTTAGATTATGGTTAAAAGAAACTATTCCAGTCTAGCAATCGTGATTTCTAAGCTCATGTTCTCCACTTGCATTTCTTCCACACCAGAAAGAGGACTTGTAATTACAAGCAATTTTTTTCATCTATCCTTTTTAAAAGTCACACTGATACAGTTCCCATGTTTACCTCATCAACCCTCACTACCAGTGAAAATCTTCTCCTTCACCTACATTCCAAACTATTTCGATGACTCTTCATTTCCCTCCTCCCTCTTCTACTAAACCTTTCTCTCACTCCTCCTGTCCACCACACTCCATCCTTCTCTCCAGTCTTTTGCATTTTTGTCAATAGAACTTGTCTGGGGGGGAGAAAAAGGACTTGTCTGACAAAGCAAGATTCTTAGAGAACAGCTCAGCAATGCCAGAATACTACGTCATGGGCAAAGAGATGTCAAAGACTAGAAACATCCATGCAGTAAGGATTTTGTCCCATCACATTTGCAGGCACTTAGTAAGATTGCACAAGTGAATGAATGATTACAAAGATAGAGGGAAGAATTAGCTATAATGCGAAAGAAAAATTCTAGTCAGTCAGAAGACCTAGACCCTTGACAGAGCTCTGCTCTTATTCCCTCTGATCTACTTTTACAAAGATAAGACATATAAACATACTCTTTTTCTGAATTAATATAAAATATTAGTAGTACAATATTGATATGGAACTCATGCAATAGTTTTTAAATTTCCAACATTTTAATCAGAAATCACCAAAGGAAATAATGTATATTCTGGGGGTTTTATGTATTCATTTGTACAAATTATTAGTCATAGGGTAACATAAAACTTCACTAACTTAGGCCCCTTTAATCAGAAATCATCATGGGAAAAGCCATAGGTGTAATATGAAGTACTGTGGCTAGAGATAGGAAACACAATAAACTTGAAACCTTTCTTCAACTAATTTGTCGTGTATGATTTTAGAAAGGTCCCATAACCTCTTTGGTTCCTGTAAAGTTGTGTTTAAAGTGAGCTAAATTATTCAATCCATCCATATCATCATCATATAATTCTATGATTCTGCATGGGCCAGAGAGATGTTCCTTTTCTACTTTATTCTTTCTATAAGCAATGGTTCTGGGAATGGAATTATTTTTGTTGGCATGTTTTGTAATCTGGACATGACTAGGCTTCAGGGATCACATGAATTCCCTAAATTTAGGCAGTTATGTTTGAGTGCATTTTTCTGGGCAGAAATACATAGCTTACATCTGATTCTCAAAAAGCTCTATGAACTTCTCAAAAAAAAAAGATTAAAAACCACTTACTTCAATAATGAACTAATTCCAAGTGATTCACATTAACTTGTAAAAACAGGCTCACAAGAAGTTTGCTTCATAATATTGTATTGGTTCTGTAACATTCTGTATCCCACATCAGTAACATAATACACTCTGTTAGTAGAAGCTACATTTCCAAACTTTCACTAATAATCTCCTCATTCGGTGATGAGCCATGGACTACATCTGTCTAGTTCACCTCATTATATCAAGAGCCTTGAACAGTGCCTAGCTCTCAATGAATCAAAGAAGGGAAATGTCTACCAGTTTATCTCTAGGCGAGAGGACAGCTAGGGAATGATCATCTTTTCATCTGGGCATGAATTGAGACTCCAAACTTGGATGATGGAAGAATCAACAAATAAGGATAGATAGATCAGTTTATCTTCAAGCCAAGCCTGGTAATTTCAATAAAGAAGAAATGAAATCCAAAGTGCGTAAGGCCTAACCAAAAGTGGCAAGGTGAAAACCAGAATCCTTAACTAATGGTACAGGTTCCTTTCATTCCACTAAGAACCTAATTATTGAGTGCAAATGACCATGTCACCCAAATTTGAGTTCCTTTCTTTTTAAGTGAAATTAAATAGCTAATAACCTCATCCTTCATTCTAAGTACACACCATAAATAACCTCTGATTTTTGCCTGATTTATTAACATAAGCAAATAAAATAACATCATGTCTTATATGTAATATAAGTTGGATTCAATTTTTTGTCACTGTCATATCTGTGAAAGATATTCAGTGCTATAAATCAAATTCTTTTATCATGCAAACTTAATTAGTTTTTCAGTAATGCTTGTTTATTTGTCTTAACTGACAATTACAGGAAGAAAAGTGTTTCATTCATTAGTATCTTTTAAAATATATAGTCCATAAAATTGAATACATGTTATTTCATTCCTATACACTTCCAGTAATTGACTTAAAAACCTAATAACATTTGCATTTCTTTGCTCTTTTTACAGGAGCATTGTTTTAAACCCAGCTTATTTCCGAAATCATCTTCGCCAGGCAACAGTGTTTAGATGTCTGGAGAGATATTCAGAAGCTGCCCGGTATGTTTATTATAACTTTTGTGAAGATTTATTTCGAGTTAAATTAATTTTATTCTCAGCTTCTGGTAATAGCATAACAGAACTTTCCATTTCTCTCATGGAGTATGATTTTACCACAATTATTGTCTTATAAACGTCAAACCAACAATTATTGACTATCTTTTTCTTTAATTAAAGCCATTCTGTGTTCATAGCTCTTAGTAAAATTCAAAATTTCCAGCCATGAGGTCACTGATTATGATGGGAAAACTTCCAGGGAAGATTAGAAATGAACTTGACCTCTTGCTCTTGAGCAGTTTCCTGGTCTTGGTTGTAATGACACAATTCTGTGACCCTCTTTTTCTTGAGTTCTGGAAATGAAATCCAACAACATGAAAAAGACCTCAGGAGCTCTTTCTAGAGGAGATGGCATCAGTTATAACATCAAGGGTTGTTAGAGCTGTCCTAATATATTGCCTCCTAGACCCCAATATGTTTCAAAAAAACGGAGTGAAGCAGCTTTTTATATTTTCATCCCCAGAACTTATACTTACAGCAAAAAAATTGCAAGAATTGTACAACAACCTCAATGTTACACTAAGAATTCCTTCTCACCTATGACAGCCAAGGCTTTTTTTCTTCCTGAGTCAAGCTCGTCATATTGGACTTCCCTTCCCTTTGATGAATCTCTCGATGAATTTTCCTCATCTCCCAATGAATAGCTGCTGTTTCTTACTTGCCCACTTTAGTATCCCAGGAATTTAGCAAGAAAATGTGAGTGGTTTCTTCACCTAATTCCAAGCACAATTCCTAGGGCCTAGGGAAGTATCTGCAGTAATAAGGATGAAAAGCCTAGGTTGCAGGTAGTTATTGTCTTTAGAACCTTTGCAAATGACACTTTCTTGGAAATTGAAGTTTAAGGAATTTAAATGGATAATAAAATGGTTCCATAAAATTAATACCATGAAATCAACATGAATTCTATATAAGATGGTCCTGAGAGTTACCAAAACTGAATTAAATGGTGGATATGGAAGGCAGAATTAATTCCAACTACACTCACTTTGCAGTCAAACAACCATTATGCCACAACATCTATTTACCTGTGTGTTAATGTGCATTTTTAAAAATTATAATGGTCTTTATGTATCAATCTCATTTTTTACATTCTATTTTTCTTTATACTTTTTCTAATGTATTCCATCTTATGTACTCACTTATGACTTCTTCCTACATTTTATTTTCTCCACTAAGTTGTCTCTGTGACTTTCTTTCTGCCCACATATTTTTCCCATGTGAATGAGAGGGAATTTAAGAGGTGATGGTAAGCTTCCTTCAGTCCCATACTTTTTAAAAGTCCCTAGCTACAAATGAAGCCAATAGGTCCAATGTAAACAGATACCACTATCTATAAAATAGTGTTTTCTGAAAGGTTCTTTATTAATGTGTCTTCTGAATTTAATCAAAAAATCATTAGGAGAAGGCTAGATGCAACTTCAGAACTAGATTGCAACTAGTAAAAAACTGCTAGTGGGGCGGAGTAGTAGGAGACCTGGATTTCGTCTGGTCTCAGGAATTCAGCTGAATAGGGATCAAACCATTCTGAACACCTACGAACTCAACAGGAGATCAAAGAGGAGAGTAGCAACAACTATCTGAACAGAGAAGCGACCGCTTTCTGGAAGGTAGGACGTGCGGAGAAGTGAATCCGAGGCGATATTCGGGAGGATAGACGGCGGGGGAGGGGCCTCTGCCGGCCGCTTCTGGCAAGTGATAGAGCCGCGGAGCACAAAATCGGAACTTTTAGAAGTTGGCTCCGCTGAGGGACGTCGCTCCAGTGGCTAAGCGGGGGTGGAACCCTCGCGGGACAGTGGGGTCTCAGGACCCTTGGGGTCACAGAAAGACCGGGGGAGCCTGAGTGCGCCAGAGTTCCCAGGGATCGGAGCGGGGAAGCCAGCTGCAGAGACGGAGCCGAGGCGCGGGCTCTCAGCTCGGGGTTGCCATAAACTGTGATCCGCGGCCCAGTCGGGCCACTGCTCCTGCAGCAGGGACCCAACAGGCGGCAGATCCGGGGAGACTCCCCTTCCTTCCCGGGGAGGAGCAGCACGGGACTGCACCGCAGGGATCTGCTGGGTTTGGAGACTCCACACGGG